CAGATCAAGAAATATATGTCTAGGTAAGGTTTATCTGAGAACAATTGGTCTTTGCCCAAGATTTGTCTACATGGCACACAGTAATTAAAAGTACCAGATTGGTGGAACTAACCTTCTTGGATATTTAACAGACATACTTTGAAGCCTATACTAATTAGCTCAGAGGGACATAAAGGACAGATTTTGCTCCTTGCCCTCCTAGGTCGACTAGTTCCAGGGGTCTATGAGCATCTCTCAAAATGTCCTGTAATTGTGGTGAATCACCTGTCTTCTTGATCAAGGAGGCCAAGGAGACCCCACAAGACAGACTTGAACCAGTGTCCAGTCTACAAAGAGGAGGGCCAACACAGAGGAATCATTTCCTCCATGCTTCCAAGCAAATGAGTCATGGTCAAGTAGGACCTTTTACTTATCTTCATATAGACAGAACTGGCAAAAGAAAGGAGCCAGAGGCTTCTCCCAAGCCCATGTGACCCCTGAGGAACAGATCCTCAAATGGCCTTAAGAGTAAAAATAAATTGGTTTATCTGGGCCAACTGTATGGCCTTAAGCACCCAAAAGGAAAGTATAACCAAAGATTAAAGGGGCCAATATAAATTTTTAAGAGTCCAACAGTGCCAGATAGAAGATACCTTCTTTTGAGTTGTTGGCCAGGGTGGCTCAAAAGACTCCCAAAATTACTTAGGCCACAGCCCTGATGCCCTCCCATAACTTGAGGGTAAGACCCTACTGCAGAAGGCAGAACATACTTTGGACACAGGATTTGGAGCAATAGAGCTGAAACTGACCTGAAGCCACTTCCTCTGAAGGCTGGCTCTCATAGCTTTGGAGAGCACTATGAAGGTGCCAAGGGAAAGCATTAACAGATAATCCAATACCAGTTTCAAGACCCAATAACCACATCAATGGTAAGCATAGCATACATCATTGGTGCAATAGTGGCACTTTTATCTTGGGAGTAATCAATAATGTGATACACACACACACATACACACACACACACGCAAACCAACAAATTAAAAAAAACGAATTATATTTGAGGAGGAAGCATAAAAATTTACATCATTTTAATTAGTAGAAGTGATAAACATTACCACTGAAATCTACCTGATGACTTTACAGACATACACAGGTGCCAAGGATCGGAGTACAACTGATTATGACTAGTAATAATCAAATACATACAGATTAGGGATGCATGCGCCAACATCTCAGTGTTAGTAGCAAAAACAATGAGCCTTTCTGCAAGGAATAATATATTCTGAAATGAAATGGAGATCTTTTTTAAAGGTTAAAAACTCATTCAATTTTATGTCTTACAGGTCTTTTACTGAGTTCAGTATTGTATAACT